CACCTCTCGGGATTTATGACTTTCAACTTGAAGAAGCAGACAGTTCCAAATACCTCGGGGCGAGGCTGCTGCCGAATGACCAGAGTAAAGATGACGTTGTCTCCCGAATTGATGCTGCCTGACGGGTTTACTAAAACCTTACAAAATGCCTATGGATCCGACCCAACTACTGCATCGTCAATAACATTCGCGTGTACCGTGCATCTGTTTGGTCTTTCCTTCCCTATGGTTGTGAATGATGGGCTGTACACGTAGACAAGCAAAAACTGGAGGTATTTGACTACCACTGCCAGAGGACCATCCCTCGAGTGAAGTACACCGCCTTAGTCTCAAATGAGACAGCCCACGCTCGTTGCGACAACATCGCAAGGATAACCCAGACCATCCAAGAAAGGCGACTTAGGTGGTTTGTGCATGCTCTTCGTCGTCTACCCTAGGGGCTCAGTGTTAATGCTCTCAATCTGGCACGGTTACCCCATTGGAGGCATCGAAGAGTGGGTCAATTCAAAACCTGGCTCGACACAGTTCGTCAAGACATGGAGATGGTCTTTGGACCTTCGGTATTCGGTTTTTTCGTTGGCGAAGAGAATGGATTAGACTGTCCATATCTGCTATCGCGGATTGCAACGTGTGGGGAGGTACAGTTCGAGGCATCATCGGGGCCGGCTAAATCAGGTATGATCACAGTCGTACCAAGTACAATTAGGTACAGCAACGCACACCTTTACTCTAATCGGTTTGGGGTTTACTCTAAGGTACAGTCTAAATGATGTGGATGGACCACATAAAAAATCTACCATAATGGCACACGAAATACGCAAACGTACTTGGAGTTCTAAACAGCAGATTCGAGAATAGTAAGTACTTTGGACGGAAAGGCAGCAAGTGGACCCGTTAAAAAACAGCGATCCCGACACTTGAAGGACTATGTACATTTCCAGTACTAACGTGGCCTTTCCTGCATGAACCTACTGCGTCTTATAATATTAGATAGTAGAAAGAACGTTTATCGGCCTCGGGAGCTGCCAACTTGGCCGGCTTCATCATTCTTCTGAGCACGGATTTCGAAAGTTGATGCATTTTGTTTGGAGTATCAGTTGTTTGGCTAGATTAGTAAATCTCAGTCATTTTAAAAACTGCATGTTGAAGGTAAAACTGGAAATTGTATTAAGGTTCGGTGCAAAGTCCAGTAATAAACCAGAGTCCAGGACGCAAGCCGTCAACGCTCATTTGGATTCGTGGTTATACACTCCATCCGACTCATTGGCAGGGACCTAATGTATAGGATGACGGTGGCTGGTGTAGCCCTATTGGACAGCCAGCAATACTGCTCATGTGCTAATGCTCCACCATCTGTAGACTTGCTAGGTTAATACTCAGCCACAACCAAAGACGACACGGTTGCATGGCTCTGGACAGCTTTTACATCGTACTCATAAATCAATTTATTTGGCAGACAGTTTTCGTTGAAAGTCGTTACACTATCAATCATTAGTGGACACACCAGTCGGTCTGGAACCGCGCTAGCAGGCAGACCCCGTTTCCGTGGTTTCTAAGCTCTAACCATTATTTGGACAGGGGTAGGTCGCGCCTCTCCCAACACGTCATTCAGTAACTGTTGCATTCTTAGACGCTAAACAGTGTCTGACAGAACATCTTGTCTAGAGATTTCATCAACCTGTTCTCGGTGGAAACATACGACATATTATTCATAGTTTGACCATTTCCCGCAATTAATTTGAATTCGGTCGGCTGAATAGGGGGCGTTTGAATAGCTATCAACGACAGTAACTGGTTCGTAATATTCACAAAAATTGTTTTTCAGAAAGACATATTATCAGTTCTAGAGTTTACAAGATGTGTGGCAGTGGAAAGGATGTGGACAAAGCCGGCCATCGAACCTGAGCATGTAAAGTCAAAATATGCAAATTCGAACTTTCTCAAACGAGAAACTTTCTGATGTCATAATAAAGGGGACTTCAAATAACATGAGAATTCCGAGAGTTATGCCTCATCGCTAATATCCAAAGGAAACGTTTGAATCAGTTACGTTCTCGTTGGGGACGAGCTAACATGTGCAGACATCTTGCGGGTCACAATCGACTCCATAACTCTTAACGGAACTCTCCCAGAATGGCAAGACAATTAAATCTGAATTGATCGAATGACCTATAAATGTCCTATTATATCCCTCGCAATTGCATTAATATAGGCAATGCAAATGTCGTCTTATATGAAGTGTTAAGGAAGCCGTAGAGGTCCTAGTTGTGTAAAGAATACACTCAGTGATGTGGCTTCATAAAACTTCTGTATGCATTAAGTCGAGTGCTTGTCTAGGCAGACAAATGACTTACATAAGGCATCCTACCCTAATGGCAAATTTCCGAATCATGCGGGCAGCAGTTCGGCAATGTAAGCGCATATACGTAGCATTCAAGAACACTGGGACCTAAGTTGACCGAATAGTAATAGCTGTTCCAACGGTTTCAAAACCCAGGCATACGAAGTCAAAACTTTAAAATATGATTAAGGATCTTTTACAACTACGCAGGTGAACGATAATCGTGGCAATGACAATAAACTCATCAACATCCACGGGCCGACATGAACGAAAAAATGGTGAGAATTCACGGTCGACATAATATACGAAAGAGGTCACACGCATATTTACGCACCATTTTCAGAAGCCGCAGCTGACTAAAGGAAACAGATCTCCTCCCGCCACAATTACGCAAATTCGAAGGATATTAGTGGAAGGAAGTCAAAGTGTGCAAAAAACATTTGATGCCAAAACAGCGAGCTGCAACTGGCTTCGTCCGCCAGAACGGCAGCCCAATAAAACGAAATAACTGACAAATTGTCGTTCAAATCCCCAAAATTCCAGACATTCAGTTAACATTATTCAGGATTAATCGACGGAAAATAAGTCCGTTCCAGTCTAGAAGGATGCGCTGTCACAAAATGGCAGTACTACAACGGACAGTTAAAATGTAGAAAAAGGATGTGTGAGAAGCTAAGGGGAAATGAATGATGGTAGATCGAATTCCACTGTGGGAGAATAACTCATTTTGTATTTAAAAAGTGGGAATAGGTAAAAAATGGGGAAGAATAACATGTGTGAAAGCCGGGAAAACACTTCTTAAATGATGAAGAGAACCTCCTCCTGTAAAATGAACTAAAACTTTGCCTTGTTGAGCTGTCTCCAGATGTTTTAGCAGTAACTGAGACCCGGCTGTCCGGGAATATTAGCGATAACGAAGTAGCCTTGCCTGGATACCAAATTTATCGGAGGGACAGGGAACACCGTCAGGGTGGTGGTATCGTTGTGTATGTGAATGACGGTCTGGCAGTGTCGGATAACACCACCAAGTTTGCGTGCAGTACGGAAGCTATCTGGTTTACCATCAAGGCTACCGGTTCCCCGTGTCTCGATGTCCTTACTGTCTACCGACCACCTAGGACAGACCGAATCGCCGACACTCAACTATTGGAGCAGTTGGAGAAATTTTCCAGTCGACCTAACATCATGATCATGGGCGACTTCAACGCACCAGGAACAAACTGGAATACCCTCCAAGTGTCAGGTCCAAAATCGGCATTCAATTACCGCCTGTTGAGCAAGACATTAAATGCGTGCCTCGCACAACATGTAATGTTCCCAACGAGAACACGTGAAGGACAAAGGGCAAACTGCCTGGACCTGGACTTTACGAAAACACCAGACAGCATAGACGAGATCGCCTCCATGCCGCCCCTTGGCCGAAGTGACCACGTAGTGCTTATGTGGGATTATTCGTTATTCTCCATTTCACATACTCCAGACCACAAAAGGCGTAATGTTTGGCGGGGCGACTTCAATCAGATGAGGGCAGGCTTATCCGGTCTTGACTGGGGCTCTTTGTTTACGGGAAGTGCCAACGATGACTGGGAGCTGTTCAAGAATGTCCTTCTGCAGCTTATCAACAACCACTGCGCACTGACTAGTGTAAGACTGAACAAACGCCCTGGGTGGCTAAATAGCAACCTCAAGAAAGGAATCAACAGGAAGCACAAATTGTGGAGAAAATACTGCGTCACTAGACAAGCTGAATGCTTCAACACCTACAAGACACAGAGGAAACAAACTGAGGAAGCTGATAATGCAGACGCGGCGGGAATTCGAGAAGAACTTGCTACAAAAAGCAACGCAGAACCCAAAATTGCTCTACAGCTACCTCCGACGAAGTACGAGGAACAGGCATCAAATCCCCATGATAAAGACTACTGATGGCGTTGAGATCGCTGATAGTAAAGATAAAGCTGCGTATTTTTCATGGTTTTTCCAATCAGTCTACACAAACGAGGCAAGGTTCCTTCCTCCCTCCACAGAAGAACTGCTGACTCCAAGCGTCAGGGATATACTCTTCTCAGAAGGCATTGTCCGAAGAGAATTAGAGGGATTGAACGAATCGAAGTCGCCAGGACCAGACGAGATTCCATCCAAGCTTCAGAAGGAACTTGCCAGTGAGCTCTCTGTGCCTTTGTCGATGCTCTTTCAAACGTCATTTGACGCTGGAACACTTCCTATCGATTGGAAGCTGGCGCATATTGCTCCGCTACACAAAGGAGGTAGCAGGGCAGCGACGACAAATTACAGGCCCATAAGCTTGACATGCATTCTCTGCAAAGTTGTGGAAAGGATCATAAAGTGTGAACTGATGCAATTCCTGCAAGTTCACGGCCTGCTATCGAAATGCTAACATGGGTTCCGAAAAGGAAGATCCTGCACGACAAACCTGCTGCAATCTCTCCAGAGCTGGACCCAAGCTCTCGACGACAGGCAGGCGGTCCACATAGCCTTCATCGACTTCCAGAAGGCTTTCGACACTCTGCCACACTAAAGGCTCTTCCATAAGCTGAAAAAAATAGGGATCGGTGGCAACTTCCGTAAATGGATCAAAAACTACCTTGTGGATCGACACTAGGTTGTGTGAGTCGGTCGGGGAAAATCAGATCCGACTATGGTCGATATTGGTGGCCCCCAGGGTTCAGTACTGGGACCCATTTTGTTCCTTATCTACGTGGACGATGCCGCAAGAGATTTAGACTGTGAAGTAGCAATGTTTGCGGATGACATGAAGATATGGAGTGTAATTCGGGGTCCTGCCGATGAATACAGACTCCAGATGAACCTGAATCGGTTGGAGGAGTGGTCCAACCGTTGGCTCCTGCGGTTCAACGTTGCTAGATGTAGCATACTTCGCCTAGGCAGCACAGCCAGATCCGCCAGCACAAGAGGCTACTTTATGGGCGGTGCAGCCCTACAAGAGGTCGAAGCCCAAAGGGACCTCGGTGTGCTTACGACGAGTTCCCTAAAACCATCCGCCACTGTTCGAGGGTGGCAAAAAGCGCAATGTCCGTACTGTACGCCATCAAGCGTGCGTTTATGGACTTTGACGAAGAAGCTTTCTCTAAGACATTCGGAACAATCGTTCGGCCGCATTTAGAGTACGGCATACAAGCTTGGAGGCCGTGGGCTGTTGTGGATCAAAACTGCCTCGAAAGAGTCCAGAGGAGAGCCACGAAGATGGTTATGGGTCAAAGCTCCTTTCCTTATGCGACCCGCCTGGTAAATCGGAACCTCTTTCCTTTGAGTTACAGACAAATTCGCGGGGATCTCTTGCGAGCCTTCCGCATTGTAGAGGGGTTGGATTGCAGTCTGGCCTTCGAGGACTTTTTTGAATTTGCTACCACGACGAACCTCCGAGGTCACCCGTTAAAACTGCGCACTCGGCAGGCACGGCTGGATGTGCGGAAGTTCTCCTTCTCGGTTCGGGTGGTCAAACCATGGAATGAGCTTCCCGCAGATGTTGTGATGTCACCATCTATACAAAGTTTTAAGAAGAATCTGGACATAATTATGTTCCGAAATGACCAAGAGCGATGAGAAGTCGAGCTCACCCCCTGTAACCCCTTCTCATTTTGTCCCACCATTATGGGCGTATTCGAACTATTTCAGCCCAGAACATCTATCCGTACACCACACATTTTTTACGTTGCAAATAGGGTACTCAAAGGCTTGCGCCTATTTCCCTCAATAAACTGAACTGAACTGAACTGACGACAACTTCGAGATCTACTATCAGACATGAGCCTTATAACAATGGCGCACGTAGATCCCTCTTGAATGTCGGACGAAATGGGGATCCGTATGTTGACTTGTAGCTTGGGGACAAGAGTTAATTCGGATAAACAGGATTTGTGGATCAATAAATCACCGATGCGCCTTATTAGCATCGAGCATATTCACAGAAGTTTCTATTTCTATTAGGCAGTGGTACTCGAAATCCAGTTGTCATTTTATACGACAAAATAACGGATCCAGGGGTATTTTTGCAGGAAGTCTCAACGCTCAATCTGTTTCAGCTGCTGAGTTACCTTTTCTTCTGCTGAGACCGAGAATAATCAAAGATAGGTCAAGGTCAAGCCGCTGGTTTTAAATTTGAAGATAAGTGGAGGATATTATTTTAAGTGGTTTTTCAGTGAGACCTAACGATTTTAGTACCTGTTTTTTGGTTGAATTTCCTTAAATACAGGCCTCTTCTCTAAGAACTGCCTACTGCCATCTCCTTTCGAGTTCTGCTAGTCTATGCCCGTTGTTCACTAATCACACTGTGCAGTTCTCATTTTGTGCATCCGATATCTCTCTAACTGTTGTAATTTATTTTTACATCGTTAGCCCCTAGCTGACATTCAGTCAACTCGTCTGCCAGAAGTTTTCTGAATCACAAATTGCCTCGAGACAAGATGAGACCAAAAGTCACTGGTCGACGTAAGCTCTCGGCTCTTGTAAGTAAACATGGCCTAACTAAACGTAAGTCAGAAGCTTTACCTAAATCTAAGTCAGATGATATTACTAGTCAGTCGTCACCCGTTGTAATTGGTCGGCAGCTTAATCTGTCTGCACTTGAACAGTACAATGACTTTATGCTAAAGTTTGGCTCTTTGTTGACAATTCTTGGACATTTATTCGACGGGAACATCTCTGATATTCCCTCCGAAGAATGTAGGCGTCTCGACTCACTTGTTCATCTGATCGCCAGTGAATCTAGTGATAGACAGAAGCGTTCTTACAACTTCCTGCTAAGAAATGTTCCCCGATCTGCTCGGCCAATTGATGTTGCGACCAATTTCCTGTATTCATGTGGTTTCAACTATAAAATAGCTGATGCCAAACGCTTGTCCTCCCGTAGTACAAATCCACCCATCTTAGTCAAATTGTTTTCACAATCGAAGTTGACACAATCTTTACTCATCGAGAGCGTGTCACTGCGTACCTAGAGAAGGCAAAATTTTTCCTTTGTCATGATCTTACTCCTATGGAGCGTAGAATGGGGTCTCTATTCTCACGTAAACCTACTGCTTCTTAGTCTAATGTTCCCCAACTCGGTCATAATACAAGTGACTGTAAGGATTCAGCTTCTCATACTCCTGCGACATCTGACTCCCTCCTTCCTCATTCTCCTACATCTCCATCTCACTCAAGCCACTTGACGCATTTGCCTGCCCCTAAACTTGCAGCAGCAGCAACCCATTTGTCGTTTCGTATCCTCCGGATAGTCCCGCTGAGACACATGAAAATCCGTCTACATCAGCCAGACCGATAACTTCTATTGTCCAACTGGGTGCTGTAAGGTCTACAGCTAAGTCACCCGTGGCTTGGCGTCAGAACGTTGAGACTCGAAAATTGAATCAGACTCCGACCCAAAAGAAAGGTAGTACAGTTCCGTTTAGGGGTACGACGCCTTCTTTTAGATCTAACAAGTCTGTTCAGCCCAGCACGTCTGCAAACACCGCAGCTCCAATTATATCCCCGAATAATTCTCTGTCCTGCGTACCGGTTACTTATCAAAGCCCTACTATATATCCAGCAAATAATTCATACATGAATTGCCCTAAATCATTTATGCCCCAACCTAGTTCAGGCTTCCCAAAACTTAAGGCCAATTGCTCTCAGGTACGTCAACTTATCTACTTTGACTTCCAATCTAGACCTGGTTTCACACCATTTCATTCTTTTAGTGGCCTACCCTCACCCACTAGCCCCTACTTTCCTTCTAGCCTCCCTCCTCCTCCGCCTCCTCCACTATTTAACTACCAACAAGTCTATCCATGTTCTAACTCCCCTAGCATTCCAATGTTTGAAAACTATATCCCCACCTCCTTTAGGTCTCATACTTAGCCTTCTCTTGCTGACTCCCCATACGTCAATAACTCTAAATTAACTGGTACTTATTCTCCAAGTGTCATTAATTCGCAGCTTACATATCCGCCTCCAATTTTTTTTAAATACCGTCGAAAATAGCATTGCCGTTCGAAACACATTAAATATTATATTATTGAATGCCAGGTCTGTTATAAACAAGATGGCCCAAATCAGAGCCATTGCTCTGAAAATGACGCCTGATATTATATGTGTAACAGAATCTTGGACACATTCTCTAATTCCTGACTCTGTCCTTCTCATAGATGACTTCGACTTTTACCGCCAAGACCGCACGACTAGACGTGGGGGTGGTTATCTTCTTTATCTTAAATCCTACCTAAAGCACTCTCCCTATTACTTGGATGTTTGCTCATTCACGGGAAACTTCTGCTTTGCATCTGTTATTCTCTCGCCGCAAAGAAAGGCAATTATTGGCTGTATCTACAATCCCCCAAATTCTTTAACCAGTGATGATTCTCAACTCTGTGAAATCTTTAAATTAATTTCGGAAGCTGCTTTCGATGTTAAAATAATCACTGGGGCTTTTAATCTTCCTGAAATAGACTGGGTTTCCAATAGCTGTTTACCCAGATTCCAGCCCTTTCAAGATATTGTCAATTTTTCTAATTGGTCCCAACTGGTGCGCTCTCCAACAAGAGATAATCACATTTTAGATCTAACCTTTACCAATGACATTGCTCCTCTTTCTGTTGCTTTAAAAAAGGACCTCTTTGACAGTGACCACGTATTAATTCATTGTGGCCTACCGCTTGCCTTTTCAAAAAAGACAAGCGCCGTTCAGACTTTCATGAACTACGACTGCGTAGATAGCGACTTAATAAATAACTATATGAGATCCTTGGATTAGTGTGGCTTCCTCACTTGTAGCGATGTAACCATTCTTCGTGATGTCATGTCCAATGTTTCCAAGGACATTCTAGAGTTTGTGCCGCGTAGATATCTCAAGCCTAATTCTTCAGATTCCCTTGTTCCTCATTTTCTTCAGAACAGACTAAAAACGTTGAGGCGACGACTGCGTGACCCATCCACTAGTTCCTTATCTGTTTATCTTAGAATCACAGAGATATTTGAGATGGCCTCAAGGATGCGCCAAGCGCGCGAAAGGCAAAGAGAATCAATTGCTCTCAGTGGTTCGAACATTGGCAAATCCGTCGCTAACATCTTCCGTCATCGGTCCTCCTCTAAGCGTGGTCATGAACTTCCACCCAGGCTAAATGATAACAAAGTCTTCCTCCCCGATGACACTGACAAGCCGGAGTTGTTTAGTGCTTTCTTTGCGAAACAACTTGCTACCGAGTCCGATCCGGTCCCTTTCTTTCGATCACTTTCAGATAGGACACTGAGCACAATTGATGTCTCCTCAGATCTCATTAAAAAACACATAAGCCGTTTGAAATACTCACACTGCTCAGGAACGGACGAGATTCCGAATTCGATTATTAAACAAGCGTCCGACCTTCCCATATTGCTCAGTCATTTAGTCTCGGTTTATATTTAAAAAGGATTCTTTCCTGAAACATGGAAGACGCCAATTATCATTCCCCTTTTCAAGTCAGGATCTCGGTCCGATGTTAATAACTATCGGGGCGTGCACAAAACGCCGTCTCTAGCAAAACTTCTTGAAAGGATTATTTTCAATGAAATTCTTAACTTCTGTCTAGCTAATCGGCTTCTGAGCTCTAGTCAACATGGATTTTTACCTGAACGATCCTGCGAAACATGCCACTTGGCTTTTCTTAATCTTATCACTTTTCTTCGTAATGAGCGGCAGTCAGTGGTAGTTATTTACTTTGATCTTAGCAAAGCCTTTGACAAGGTGCACCATAGACGTCTTTTAGTAAAATTGGAAGCTCTCGGCATCCGGCCGCCTCTATTCGACTTCATCAGGTCCTATCTGTCCAACCGATAGCAGAAAGTCATGGTCGGTAATAGCTACTCGACACCCCACTCGATCTCGAGTAGCGTACTTCAAGGCACGGTTCTGGGTCCGCTACTCTTCCTTCTGTACATCAATGATATTTCGACTGAACTCGGAAATTCGCAAACTTTTACTTATGCCGATGACCTCAAGTGTGTTTAATCATACTCTAAGGACACCGCAAATGTTTGTGTTGAAAAAATTAATGCCGATTTACTACGCTTAATCAGATGGGGTTCGACATGGCAGATGGAGTTTTCATCATCCAAGTGTAGTTTCATGTCTTTTGGTCCTACCAAACTTCCTGGTCCCATAATTTTTCAGAATAACCCACTCTCAGAATGCCTCACCATAAAGGACCTAGGTTTAAGTTATACAAATAAGCTTGCTTTATCACCTCATGCAGATAGAATCTGTGCCAAATCCGCGCAGATATGTGGATTCATATCGCATAATTTTTTCCTTCCGGAAATGAAGCTAAGACTTTATCAAATGTTTGTTCTTCCAGTCCTCGAATATTGCTGCCCTTTCTTCGGTTTAATGAACACCTGCGACCGTAATAAAATCGAAAATGTTTAGAGGGTTTTCACCCGGAAACTGTTCTCTCAAGCTTCGTCCAGTATTTCTTATACTCAGAGATGTCAACTGGCGAACATGAAGTTTTTGTGGGTTAGAAGACTCGAAGCTGGCCTTTGCTTCCTTTTTCGCATCAACTGTAGCTCCATTCTTCCGCACATTGACACTCTCACTCTGAGGGATCGGTCTTATGCCACGCGTAACTCCTGCATGGTGATTCCGCCGCCTCTTTGTACTACTTCTAAGCGCTCCCTCTTCTTTGCTTCCATATATGCCTTCCTTTGGAATAATATTCCGCCTGAAATTCGATTATCGCCTAAGTTACTGGTATACAAGTCGAATTTACGCAAACATCTTACACTGGAAAGCATAAAGGCACTGTTAACGGTCTCATTCCCGAACACTCAGATTCTTGACTTCGAGAAGGGTCCTCCTGGGATTTAGTGGTAGATTAAGTGGTAACTCTTAATTATATCATTAGAAACCCCTGTTTTGAATTGGTTTCTAAATCCACTGCTATCACTCCCCCCCCCATAGCGACAATTTTCGCGGTTTTTGATGTCATCTCTCGCATTCCGACCTCATGCGGTCTGTCGACGCTCACGGCGGAACCCTCAGTATTCACTGTCTACTAGTAGTTCGGTCGTACCTCCCTTCCTCACTGCTCGGTTGAGCTCGAAGCGTGCTGTGGCCGATCGCATCTGGGTTCCTCTCGTCTGGCCTCCTTGACGCGGCGTATCAATCCGGCCCAGACGATCTCAATTGTGAATCCCGTATACAATGCCATTTGCAAACCAGTCCTGCCTGACCCACATTCGACATTTATTGCTACCCTGACGATGACCGACAACATTCCGCTATATACCGCCACCTACAGGCCAGACCTGCTCGCTTTTTTCTGTTATTATTTTTATGGAGGTTTTTTTTCTCCTGTAAAATCAATCCAATCATTTTTAACTTTTTGTAAGGAGTTTTTTTTTCACCCCTCAATCATCATCTTTCTCAATGGACTTCTAATTCAGAAACTATGAATTGCATTTTGTAAAGACTCGGCCTACCTCGTCTAAAACTCGCATGCAAATTTATTTTAACTTGCTTTGATGGGACCTCGACGGGTCTTTAATAAAAATTATCTATCTATCTATCTATCTCAATGATAACTCACCTGAAGTTTTGGTATCAGTGACTGATGACGATAATTTTATTTCGGTATCCTTAGACATTTTGTGCATTACTTATCGGTAAGGGTTCCAAACTTACAGAATTTCAGCTGTTACCAAACCTTCATACCTGAAATTACACTAATTATTAAAGGGTACTTAAATGTAAACTTCACTGAAAGATCATTTTCAGATGTTATTCTATTTGTGCCGACATATTTGCTAAGTTTTTTGCAGGGGTTGGTTTTCATCACATAGGAAACTTGACTTGACGCAATTACAATCATTTTGGGCTCTTTCATAATTTTCCGCTTTTCTAAAAAAACTTCCTTTTGCTGAACAACGTAACATTGCGTCTTATATTTCTTTAATGTTTTTAATCCCCTTAGGCTTGTTATTTATAAGCACAGATATTTGGTCCACGCACTGTTGTCGGATTGCGAGGTATTAGCTATCATTCCTAAATTTCGACACGTTTCATGAGTTAAGTAACCCACTGTACTTAGTTGCCTTCTAAAATGCGTCGCGTCTAGCATCTATGACTCAGCAAGATGTCCTCAAACTCTTTACACTGTGGGGTTGTCTGCAGGAGTTTTCACGAGACATGCGGATACCATTAAATGTAGACAGACGCTTATTTTGTACACATTAGGAATAAATTGGCTCCATGCGATCCGGCAAAAATTAAGGCCTTCGGACGGTTCGTGAGCTGAGGCGTCTATGACTAGTGGCGCAAATTCAAGCAACTATCGCGTCAAAGCATACGTTTCACCTGACCACATTTCCAACGCGTCGGATTCGACCCTACCACATGCACACATGACATCAAAGACACAGGAGTCTGCGCGGTTTGTGGTTTATGTTGAAATTCTTTTTCGTAAACGACACAGTGCATTTTCCGAAATTCCGTGGTCAGCTATGAGAGTACTCTAAGATCAGCAATCGAGGGGCAGAATTCACAGGACAGTCTATGCTATGACAGAGACTTAAAGCATTTCAGATACTAATCGGCGCCAATTTCTAAAATATGCTGAGTATCATCCGTTGGCTTTGATGGTCAAGAGAGTAGTTGTGGGTCTTAATTAGGTCATTTAAGTTAGTAGCTAATAAATAAAGGTCAAAATGTCTAGCAATATCATGCCAGGTCAGTGAAGTAAATCAGGGTGAGCACATACATCCAGTTGTCAAAAGTTTTATGTAGGCCGAAGTATATTCAGGTAAACGGATCGACCAGCGGTTATTACGATGAACTGTCTTACGTCTTAGACTATTAAGATGTGCTTCAATTTTCGTCTTAGAAGGTCGTTTACTAAAAGGTTGTTTGATGCTCCTTGAAAGTGATAGTCAAACTGCTAGTGTTGTCTTTAAATAAAATCTTTCCCGTAATATTTGTAAGTAAGTGGTTAGAAAGTTTTTGAGAAATGTTGATAATATGTTACAGTAACTAGGTCACACATTGCACTTATCACCAAATTACTGCTGTGGCATTGCGATGTTTTACGACATCGGGCATGCCTACGCACATGGTGAATTCCACTCAACCAATTTCGCACGGTAAATAGCAATTTTTAAAACATAGGTGTCCCAGATCGATTCGGAGTCTTCTCCTACTACAACAGTTGCGAGAAATCGTAGACTAAGTCAGCCATCTTAAACTTTCTTACAGCTCATTTCAGCGACACTATAAACTCTTCCCTGCGAAGGCGCCTCCTATATGTCGATAAAGAATGCTAATGAAGCCGCCCCCACGGTTGGAGCACGCGACAAAAAGCCATCTTCTGAGCCCACCCCCGTTCCGACTTCTCGGGTTGGGATCGTCTCAGAAAATTCGGAGGCCGAATATTTTCTTATAACTATCAACACCTTCACCTCCAACAATAAGTGATGACGATGTAATGGATAGGTCCTACGAAGATCTGCGGACAATCCCTGTCTCTGTAAAGAGGGTCGACAAGACAATTCTACGCAGTAGCATCAGTGTCAGTGCATGTATATGTGGCCTATTTTGAAGGGGCGTAGGGGTGCTCCAGAGGTGGGTTCACGTGATGGTCGTAGTGGTCGCTCACTTGCTTACAGGTGAGACTACGCCTAGCGTCCATTTGCTGGCACCCAACTCTCACCTGTGGCTCCACTAAGCTGGGCTCTGCTCAGCGGCCACACCCCAGGCAACCGCCTCGACCGGCGGGCTAAACCTGGTGAGGGTATCCGTGCGTGTTCCTGCACACACTGTACTGTGGTCTCCGCCGGCCGGATGTATCTTTGCGTCGACATTGTCGAGACGAGGCTCTGCCTGGGCCATCGCAGGAGGCCACCAGGTAAGTGAATTCTCAAGTAAGTGAAATTAACTCTGATTTCCTTCCTTACTTGTTTGTTTTCATTCTGTTTCGTTTGCTGATCTTGTTGCCTGCTCTGTTTCTGTTAATCTGTGCATTTCTCTGATAATAGCAAGACGTTACTGCGCTTGACTTCGAATGATGCTTCTCCTTCCTTGTCTCACTTGCCTTCTTATTTGTCCGCTTAATTCCTGTGCTGTCTGCCGCTCTTGTTGCCCACTGCGACTGTTTGTCAGTCTGTCTGTCCATGCCTCTCTCTGCTAATAGCTAGGTGTCGCTGTGCTCGACTTTGAATGTTGCCCTCTTACTCCTGTCTCTGACTGATGACTGTGTCTGCTTGTCCATTCTAGCTGTAAGTCCCCTAGCGTTCTGTTGGTGTGTTTGCTCTCTCCTACTTAACTCCATCGCATCACCACCAAGGTCTCTGGCTAACTCGGGTCTTTTACTCACTAACAAAAAGTCGTGGCCAATAGTGGAGTCAGGCAGCCGTCTGGGGTAACCGAGCAGCCCTATTTAGGGGGTGCGCAGCCTGCCCTCGCGAGGGGGATGGGGCTAGAAAAGGTGCCCTAAAAATTGCTCGGAACCACGCTGTCTGTGGGCTGGCCGTGGACGCAGACAAAACACACACGGTCTAAACAGCCAAATCCGAAACAACAACAATAAAAATCACTCTCTTCCTCGTCCACCCTATTCTCCCGCCCCCGCAATCGCCAGACTGACAGGGTGGGTCCGCTCACTCTGGCAGCCTAGAATGTTCGATCCCTTTTAGACAATCCGAGGAGCAACCGACTGGAACGGAGGACAACGCTAGTGGACCGATAACTGGCGCGCTACAAGGCGGACATCGCCGCACTCAGCGAGATCCGATTCTCCGAACAAGGCCAAATGGAAGAGGTGGATGCCGGCTACGTCTTCTTTTGGAGCGGTCGCCCTAAGACAGGGTGACAAGACGCGGGCGTCGCCTTCGCCATCTGGAACGACATCGTGGGACTACTGCCCTGTTTGTCTCAAGGCATCAAGGATCGCCTGATGAGCCTCCGTCTGCCTCTCTGGGGAGGCAAATTCGCCCCCATCATCAGCGCCTACGCTCCGCCGATGACCAGCCCCGACGCTACAAGAGACTAATTCTACGAGGACCTGCATGCCCTCTTGGCGACTGTGTCGAAGGCGGACAAGTGAATTGTCCTTTGTGACTTCAATGCCCGCGTTTGCACAGACCATGCTGCCTGGAGGGGAGTGCTGGGTTACCATGGTCTCTCTGGCTCCAACAACAACAGCCTGCTCCTCCTCCGCACCTGCGCAGAACACCGCCTCATCCTAGCGAACACCTTCTTCTGTCTGCCGGAGCGAGAGAAGGCCACCTGGAGGCATTCTCGGTCGCGTAAGTAGCACCCGCTGGACTATATCCTCGTCCAAAGGCGAGATCAGCGGGACGCGCCAGTGACAAAGGCGATCGCGGGTGCTGACGGGTGGACCGACCATCGTCTCGTCATCTGGAAGTTGCGTATACGTCTACAGCCTCACAGGAGACCACAAGGTAAGCGACCCCAGGTAAGCTGAATATTGCCTTGTTGTCTTTGCCCGCTCACCATCTCCATTTCAGCAATGAGCTAGCTCAACGGCTAGACAATCTTCTAATCGCTGCCGTCGCCGAAGCCTGCGATGCCGAGAACACCACCGTGGAAAACCGATGGAGTCAACTGCGAGACACTCTTCAGTCAACGGTACTAGCCGTCCTTGGTCGCGCACGCCGCCAACACCAGGACTGGTTCGACGACAACAACGCCGTAATCAGCAATCTGCTAGCCGAGAAGAACCGCCTACACAAGGCCTACGTAGACCACCCCACTGCCAACAACAAAACAACTTTCTACCGCAGTCGCCGCCACCTTCAGCAACGACTACGCGAGTTGCAGGACGCCTCGACCGCTGGCAAAGTTGAGGAGATCCAAGGCTACGCGGACCGCAACAAATGGAAGAACTTCTTCTCCGCGATCAAAGCTGTCTACGGTCCGCCGACGTAGGGCACTGATCCTATCCTCAGCGCCGACGGCAGTACCCTTCTGACTGAGAAGACAAATTCGACAGCGATGGGCCGAACATTTTCGAGGCGTCCTCAACCGCCCCCCCCATCCCCCGCCATCGCCAGCTTGCCGCAAGTGGAGACCAACGTGGACCTCGGCCTTCCGCCATCTCTCCAAAAAACCATTAGGGCCGTGCAGCAACTCTCCAGCGGGAAAGCACCCGGATCGGGCGCGATCCCTGCTGAAGTCTACAAGCACGGAGGTCCCCAACTGATGGATCACCTGACTGCGCTCTTCCAGGAGATGTGGCGTCAAGGTGAAATCCCGCAAGATTTCAAAGACGCAACCATCGCGCATCTTTACAAGCGAAAAGGAAACCGCCAATCAACGTGGCATCTCCCTGCTGAACATCGCCGGGAACATCATTGCTCACATCGTCCGGAATAGTCTGGATAATCATCTGGAAGAGGGCCTCCTACCGGAAAGCCAATGTGGCTTCCGCCGACATCGTGGGATCACGGATATGATCTTTGCCGCCCGTCACCTACAGGAGAATTGCCAGGAGATGCGGACCCACCTGTACTTTACTTTCGTGGACCTGACGAGAGCCTTTGACACGGTAAATCGCGAAGGACAGTGGAAGATCATGCAGAAATTCTGCTGTCCGGAGCGATTCATTCAGATGGTACGTTAGCTGCACGACGGTATGATGGCGCGAGTCATGGACAACGGAGCAGCCTCGGAGGCATTTGCTGTGACCAATGGAGTGAAGCAGGGATGCGTGTTGACGCCCACACTCTTCAGTCTTATGTTCTCTGCCATGCTGATGGACACCTACCGTGATGAACCCCCCGGGATCCGCATCGCCTACAGGACGGACGGTCATCTTCTGAATCAACGGCGGATGCACTTCCAATCGCGAGTATCCCCAACCACCGTTCACCAACTTCTCTTCGCCGACGACTGCGCCCTGAAAACCACCTCGGAAGAGGAGATGTAACGCAGCATGGACCTGTTCTGCGCCGCCTGCGAAAACTTCGGACTAGTCATCAACACACAGAAGACGGTGGTCATGCATCAACCGCCACACAACTCAGCCACTCCTCCCAACGCGCCACAAATCAGCGTGAATGACCCAACTGAAAGTGGTGGAGAACTTCCCATACCTGGGTAGTACCCTCTCCCGTTACACCGAAATCGATGACGAAGTCGACAACAGGATCTTAAAAGCCAGTCAAGCATTCGGCCGCCTCCAAAGCACAGTCTGGAATCGTCATGGTCTGCAAATAAGCACGAAGCTGAAGATGTACAAGGCCGTCATCCTGCCGACGTTACTGTACGGAGCGGGGACTTGGACGGTGTACACAAAGCAAGCACGCCGATTGAACAACTTCCACCTCAGTTGTCTTCGTCGCGTCCTCAGGCTGAACTGACAGGACTACATCCCCGACACTGATGTTCTGGAACGTACGGGAATGCTCAGCATCTACACCATGCTGAGACCAATGCAGCTGCGCTGGAGCGGCCACATAATGCGCATGGACGACGAGCGACGACCCAAACGACTCTTCTATGGAGACGTCGCGACGGGCTCTCGCCGCCAAGGAGGTCAAATGCGTGGATACCAGGACACTCTGAAGTCCTCCCTGAAGCGCCTGCAAATCAACCCTACAAAATGGGAAGAACTCGCCCGCTATCGTCCGACATGGAGGAGAACAGTGAAGACAGGCGCTGCTATCCACGAAGCCAACCGCATCGCCGCCGCCAAAGTGAAACGTGAAGCTCGCAAATCACATCTGCGCCCAGTACGCAACGCCGACGCACAATCGCTTCTAACGTGTCCTCGATGTCAACGAACATTTCGGGCTCGAATCGGACTTGTTGGACATCTTCGGATCAACTGCGCCTCTCGAACTGCACACACCATCGTCCCCCTGCTCGCCTCTTCCTCGTCCTCTCCGCCGCCAACTAAATCTGACGATTCTTCTGAACCACCATCATCATCCTCCTCCTCCTTCTCCTCCACCACTGCCCCAAAAACGGCTGTTCAGGCGGCCGTCTTGCACATCACCAGCCTTGACACAACAACCGACACCATGCCCACCTCCCTCGACTCCAGCGATGAGGATCGGGACTACACCTGCCCTGACTGCGACCGCACCTTCACCTCACACATCGGCCTGGTCGGTCACTTGCGAATCCATCGCACAGAGACTGGTGAACCAGTGCCTGGAGCACCAACCTACACCCACCGCACCCGCCCCCACTGCCCACACTGCTCTCGCACCTTAAGGCATCGATTGGGCCTATTCGGCCACATGCACATCCACGAGAGCGGAAGTGACCGCAGTACCGACTCATCGATCATACCAAATCCCGCCCCCTATTCATCACCCTGCCCCCCCACCGCCCTTCCCGCAACTGACACCGACACTGTCGACCTCTGATGCCCACACTGTCCACGCACCTTCACCTCACGCATCGGCCTGGTCGGTCACTTGCGAATCCATCGCACAGAGACTGGCAGACCAGTGCCTGGAGCACCGACCTGCATCCACCGCACTCGCCTCCACTGCCCACACTGTCCTCGCACCTTCACACATCGCATGGGTCTATTTGGCCACATGCGCATCCACGAGAACGGAATTGACCACAATTCCGACACACCCACCACATCCAACACAACCACCATTCCCAGCACCACCCACGCTCCATTGCCCTGCGCGACCATCACCACAACCACCACCATTGCCTCCTCTGTATCTGACGCCGACACCGCCGACTTCACCTGCCCACACTGTCCACGCACATTCACCTCAAGCATCGGCCTGGTCGGTCACTTGCGAATCCATCGCACAGAGACTGGCAGACCAGTGCCTGGATCACCAATCTATACCCACCACGCTCGCCTAAACTGCCCACACTGTCCTCGCACCTTCAGACATCGCATGGGCCTATTCGGCCACATGCGCATCCACGACGACCTGCGGTAGACAACCGCCGGCTACACCACACCACAACACCCTCCCGCCCTGCCTCCTCCACAACCATAACCACCACCACCCAACCACACATCAACACTCACCCACCGCAAGCACCCAACTGCCACCTCCCACGCAAGTGGGAAGAGTGTACCTCGACTCGGTCTCCATGCGGCTCCGGTTGCATGGGTGACTTGGGTCTGAGACTATCCCGACACGTCAAGCGTCGTGGATAGGAAGGTTGCTGATTGATGCCCCACTCAGTCCACGCAGTTCGTCCCGTTGTGTGTTGTGTAGAGTAGCGGACTGGTGGGCTGCGGACGGGCTCAAACAGCACCTTCCACGGCCCTCTCACGCTAGTGAGAAACACGCCGTTCAACCCCCGTTGTGT